GGATGGTCTCGATCTCCTGACCTCGTGATCCGCCCGTCTCGGCCTCCCAAAGTGCTGGGATTACAGGCTTGAGCCACCGCGCCTGGCCAATTTTTTTATTTTTAATTGAGACTGCGTTTCACCATGTTGGCCAGGCTGGTCTTGAACTTCTGACCTCAAGTGATCCACCCGTCTCAGCCTCCCAAAGTGCTGGGATTACAGGTATGAGCCTCTGTGCCTGGCTGCCTCATTGTTTGTCTACAGGGCATCTTGGCAGTACCATCTCTATTTTTTTGTCAATGTCCTACTACCTGAGAATATTGTAGTCTACCATGATGTCACTGTCCCACTGCCAAACCGTTGAGTTGAATAACAGCCTGACTTCTCCCACTGTTGGCTGTATGCTGTTCCACTGCCTGTATGCCAAGTTGTTCAGCTACCAGCCTGCCCCACTGCCCAAATGTCCAACCGAACACTTGCATGACTGTCCCAGAGCTAAGCTGTTTGGTTGAACCACTGTCCCATGATGACCAGCATGATTGTACAATCCATTGACAATTCCACTGCCCGAATGGAATGGTGTGAACCAGCCTATTTTGCTGTCTGAACTGTGTGCTTGGACAACATGTTGTCTTCTAGGTGAGCAACTTTTCCAATCAATGCACTGCCCGATTAGATCAGTGAGTTCTAACTGCAATGCACTGCAGTTAGAACAATCATACTGCCTGATGTACTACAACCAGATGGTCTCGTGGACCACCCAACCGTGACATCGTATGTCATCCACCTTTTCTGTCTGTACAGCTGACTGTGGCTATATGTCTACCACAGCATCCTACTCACAAGACTATCTGATTATACACTTCGTTCAATATCACACTGTTCTGCTTTTCCATCTAACATTCATCCGATTTTCTTTTTTGAGACGGAGTCTCACTTTGTCGCCCAGGCTGAAGTGCAATTGGTGCAGCCTCAACTCACCGCAACCTCCACCTCCTGGGTTCAAGCAATTCTCCTGCCTCAGCCTGCCAAGTAGCTGGAATTACAGGCATGTGCCACCATGCCTGGCTAACTTTTTTGTATTTTTAATAGAGACGGGGTTTCGCCATGTTGGCCAGGCTGATCTTGATCTCCTGACCTCAAGTGATCTGCCCGTCTCGTCCTCTCAAAATGCTGGGATTACAGGCGTGAGCCACCATGCCTGACCCTGATTTTCTATATGTATATTTTGAAACAGGATCTTGCTCTGTTGCCCATGCTGGAGGGCAGTGGTGTGCTCAAGGCTCATTGGAGCCTCAACCTACCTGGCTCAAGGGACTCTCCTGCCTCAGCCTCCCAAGTAGCTAGGACTACAGGAGCCCACCACCACACCTGGCTTACTTTTTCTATCTTTGGTCGAGATGGTGTCTCCCTCTGTTGCCCACGCTGTTGTCAAACTCCTGGGCTCAAGCGATCCCCCCGCCTCAGCCTCCCAAAGTGCTAGAATTACAGGTGTGAGCCACCATGCCCGATCGGACCTGGTTTTCTGGCAGTATGACTGTGCTGGTAAATATTTTGTTGGTATATAGCTTTCCTTCTCTCTCATTTCCTAAATGCCTGATTGTACAACCATCCTCCTACCAGTCTGATCATAAATCTGGCCTTTTGGCTGTATAACTGCTGGAGTATCTGATATAATCACCACACTGTCTAACTGTCTGATCAGATGATAATCCTAGAGAAGGAATGGTTTTATACCTGAACACCTGTCTGGCTGTTTTACTCACTGCTGGGCCAGGTGACTACAGCAGGGATAAGATTATTCCATAGCTCCACTGGTTCACTGTGTGAGGATATGTCTCTGCTGTCCCCTGGATAGAACTGCCTAGTTTTTTTTTTTTTTTAGATAGAGTCTTGCTCTGATGCCCAGGCTGGGGTGCAACGGCACGATCTCCACTCGCTGCAACCTCTGCCTCCCGGGTTCAAGTGATTCTCCTGCCTCAGTCTCCCGAGTAGCTGGGATGACAGGCATGCGCCACCATGCCTAATTTTGTATTTTTAATAGAGATGGGGTTTCGCCATGTTGGTCAGGCTGGTCTTGAACTCCTGACCTCAGGTGATCTGCCCGCCTTGGCCTCCCAAAGTGCTGTGATTACAGGTGTGAGCCACCATGCCTGGCCTGATTTTTTTTTGAGACGGGAGTCTTGCTGTCACCCAGCTTGGAGTGCAGTGGTATGATCTTGGCTCACTACAACGTCCGCTTCCCGGGTTCAAGCGATTCTCCAGCCTCAGCCTCCGAGTAGCTGGGACTACAGGTGCTTACCACCATGGCGGGCTAATTTTTGTATTTTTAGTAGAGACGGGGTTTCTTCATGTTGGCCAAGCTGGTCTCGAACTCCTGACCTCAAGGTGATCCACCCACCTCGGCCTCCCAAAGTGCTGGGATTATAGGCGTGAGCCACTGCACCCGGCCGGAATTCTGTAATTATATCACTGTGTCCCCTTCTCAGCAGCTCCATTCTTCCCCTCACATAACTGCCTGCTGACTTTCTGGATAAAAAGACACTGCTGCCTCAAGGGAAAGATACCGTGTAGCCCTCTCCCCATCCCCAGAAAGACCGATGTACCTCTCACTCCACAGGCCGTGTCCAGGTGGGGGTGACGCAGAGAGGAACGCTTGTACACCACATGTGGTCCACTTTCCTCTGGGCCCCGAGAACCCTTGGGCCCACCGTGTAGGGGCTCAATCAGGTACTCTTCCTCGTCTGCCACAATCAGGCCGTGCTGGGTTTTGGGAAGTGGGACAGAAAGTTCTCAGGATCAGGTTCTGGAGCTTAGGACCCCTGGGACCTTCTCTCTGTCTTTATGATTTCGTTCTTATCTCATCAGGTTTATTTTGCTATTTTTTTTTTTTTAGCATAGGTAATTAGTATCCATGCTATTTCTTTCTTTTTCTTTTTTTTTTTCTTTTTTTGGAGACAAGGTCTCAATCTGTCATCCAGACTGGAGTGCAGTGGTGCAATCGTAGATCACTGCATCCTCAACTTCCAGGGCTCAAGCGATCCTCCTGCCTCAGCCTCCCAAGGAGCTGGGACTATAGGAGCACACCAACATGTTTGGCTAACTTTTTAAATCTTTAATTTATTTTTCATAGAGATTTATTTTTTCATATATTGCCCAGGCTGGTCTCGAATTCCTGGCCTCAAATGATCCTCCTGCCTTGGCCTCCCAAAGTGCTAAGATTACAAGCATGAGCCACTATGCTCAGCCTGTAATTTGTTTTTTTAATTATATATATGCGTATGTGTATATTATGAATGTATGTGTATAGATACACATACACATAATTATATATAAAATATAAATATATATTTAAGCATATATAATATATATAAATATATGTAAGATATATATATATATTTAAAGAAACACTATATATTTAAAGAGACAGGCCCAGGCTGCAGTGCAGTGGTGTGATCTCAGATCACTGCGACCTCCCCCTCCTGAGTTCAACCGATTCTCCCACCTTAGCCTCCTGAGTAGCTAGGATTACATATGCACACCACCATGCCTGGCTAATTTTTATTTGTAGTTTTAGTAGAGATGGGGTTTCTCCATGTTGGCCAGGCTGAACTTGAACTCCTGACCTCAAGGGATGCACCCACCTCAGCCTCCCAAAATGCTAGAACTACAGGCATAAGCCACCGTGCCCAGCCTCTAATTTTTTGAGATAGATGTTCAGCTCATTAATTTTCGGCCTTACCTAAGGCTATACATTTTCCTCTAAGTACTGCTTTAGCTGCATCCCCAAAGTACTGATTCACTCAAAACACTTTAAAAATGTCCCGCTATCATTCCTTCTCTGACCTTTATGTAGAAGTGTTTTTCTTAACTTCCAAACTAGTGGGCATTCCCCGCCCCCTGCCACTTTCCAGAATCCTCTGCTCACCAGGCCTCCACAGGTGCTGATGGCCACATGGGAGCTGCTGGCCTGGCCCTGCAGGTGACCAGCGTAGAGGCAGTGGGGCCGGGCGGCCCTCTGCCAGGCCAGGCCCTCCCGTGTCCAGTACTCCACGGAGACGTGCCCTGCCAGTAGACGGGAGCTGCGGGTCAGGTTCAGCAGGAAGTGGGTGCTGGGTGAGGCCACCTTGTAGAAGAGGCGGGACTCGGCTGTGGCCCCGGTGCCCCGGCGCTGCCTCCGGGGAGGAGGTGGCGAGAAGGCCAGCAGTGCCCCGTTGTGGTCCACGCGGGTGGGGAAGGCGATCTCATAGCTCTCCAGACTGGACAGGAACTCATCTGTGGGTGAGGGTCAGAGGCCTGGGGTGGGCCCTGGTTTTAGTGGACCCCTGTGTCCTAGTTGTTAGGCTGCTGGAGCAAGTGATGCTGGCCTCACTGACACCCGAAATCCAGGGAGTTGGCTGCAAGGCTCCCGCCTATTGACCCCAGGGCCTTCCCCCATTGACCCCCATCCCAGCCCCCTGATACCTCTTTCTGTTGGAGCCCAACTGGTCTCTTAAATTTTTCGCTCCCTCCCCACCGCCACCACCAGACTTCCCCTACCTTGAGACCGGAAGGCGTGCGTGACCTCGAACATGAGGCCCAGCCCCAGGGCGAGGGCCCAGCGGAGGATCTGGCAGGCGGGAGCCATAGAGGCCACGTGTCCACATGTCTCTCCCCAGCCCCGGCTGCCGGCAGCCCCCACAGTGCCGCCTCCCCTGTTCACAGCCTGCGCAGCATCACCGGGCTCCTGGGAGGGGGGAGCCAGGTAAGGGGGCGCCTGGTCCCGCTGTCCAGCACAACCAATGCCAAGGCCAACCATGGCCAAAGCTTTTCACCTGACTGAAGATTCTGAATGCATTTTCTCACTCAGTCGCTCCCCTCTCCCCACCTCCCCTTCCAATAGGACAGGCAGGGACTGGGATGCTGGGAGTACCTCCTATGTGCCAGCTACTGGCCCTAGTTTCCACATCACTGCATTTCTGTTTTTTTGAGACGGGGCATTACTCTGTCACCTAGGATGGAGTGCAGTGGTGTGATCATAGCTCACTGCAGCCTCCACCTCCTGGGCTCAAACAATCCTCCTGCCTCAGCCTCCCAAGTAGCTGAGATTGCAGGTGCATGCCACCACCCCTGCTTAATGTTTTTGTTTTTTTGGAGAGACGGGGGTCTCCCTTTGTTGCCCAGGCTGATCTTGAACTCCTGGCCTCAAGCGATCCTTCCACCTCAGCCTCCCAAAGCACTGGGATTACAGGCATGAGCCACTGCACCCAGCCTACCATTGCATTTCATTTCCAAAATAACTTGAGAAGTCACGATCATCTTTTATTTTGAGATGGAGTCTCACTCTGTGGCCCAGGCTGGAGTGCAATGGCGCAATCTTGGCTCACTGCAACCTCTGCCTCCTGGGTTCATGTGATTCTCCCGCCTCAGCCTCCTGAGTAGCCGGGATTACAGCCACGCGCCAACACACCCGGATAATTTTTTTGTATTTTTAGTAGAGATGGGGTTTCACCATGTTGGCCAGGCTGGTCTTGAACTCCTGACCTCGCATCATACTCGCAATCACTCATCTTTTTATAGATGAGAAAATAGACTCAGGAGTGATAAAGTTTGCCCTGGGTCACACTGCTAGAAAGAGGTGGAACCTGGGTTCATTCATTGGGTTATAGCATCTGGTGGAGGGTGGATGGGGGCATAACAGCCATGCATGCTGAGGATAGCAACCCTTACTTGCCCTAGCCCTGTGGGGTTCCATCTCTTAGGAGTGACAGATGACAGTCAAGTGAATGGAGAAGGGTTCAGATTGTGACATGTTCTCTAGAAAGTATCCATAGGGAGACTGGGAAGCAGAGGTTCAAAGCATAAGAAATCAATGGTGTGAAGAGACAGGAGAAAGTGCCCCAGGAGGGGAAACAGCCAGGTCAAAGGCCTGGAGGTGGGGTAGAGCCTGGCATGCACCCAGGCAGGGTGGGTGCAGGAGAGCAAGGGGAGGCTGGCATCAGAGGCACTTGAAGGCTGGGGTGGTCAGTTTGAATTTTCAAGCCAGATGAAAGCTAAGGCTAGTACTCCATTCCCCCAACCTCTCATATTCCCACCCACGCATCCACTGTCCCGGGCCCTGTCTTTGGATTCTCCAAAAGGGGTAGCACCATTCAAGCCAGATTAAAGCTAGCCTCCAGCCTTTCATATGCCCACCCACGTACCCACTGTCTTGGGCCCTGTCTTTGGATTCTCCACACTGGGTAGCACCCTCACCCTCCCAAGCCTCTCCTCCGCCCTATGTTTCTGTCCTATTTTCAGATGCTTCCTTCTCAAGGCTCCAAGCCAACCTGCCCCGCAGGTCTCAGTCTCTCTAGCATCTGCCCCAGGCCAGCCTGCCGCAGACAACACTTTGGGCCACCAACCTGTGCCAAACCCTCTTCCCCCACCCTCCTGTCTCCACCCTCCTCCTCCTCTGTGCAAAATCCCTTAATCACAGAGTCTTGTTTTCTTTGCAGCCCAGCCAAGTCTGACAGTCAATCCCCAAACAGGGCAGTTCAGCCCCGAGGGAGGGAGCCAGGTTTTTGCCAAGTTGCTGATGGACCGAGAAGCCCACATTCCCCACTTCTGCTTGGATCCCTCTAGTGACGGGGAGCTCACTCACAGATATTCTGTGACCCCACTGCACTCTTCAGCTGGGCTAATGTCCATTCCTTTTGTTGTTGTTCTCTCTCTTTTTTTTTTTTTTTTAGACAGAACCTCGCTCTGGCATCAGGCTGGAGTGCAGCAGTGCGATCCCCGCTCACTGTAACCTCTGTCTCCTGGGTTCAAGCGATTCTCCTGCTTCAACCTCCTGAGTAGCTGGGACTACAGGTGTGCGCCACCATGACAAGCTAATTTTTGTATTTTTAGGAGAGACGAGGTTTCACTGTGTTGGCCAGGATGGTCTCGATCTCTTGACCTCATGATCTGCCCGCCTTGGCCTCCCAAAGTGATGGGATTACCGGCGTGAGCCACAGCACCCGGCCTCTCTCTTTTTCTCTTTTCTCTCTTTTTTTTTTTTTACCTTTTGGGGGCTTCAGTTGGTGGAGTGGTGTTGGGCCCCTGTACGGATCCTTCCCTCGCCTGCTCCCTGCACCTGGACCTCTCTGGGCCTTTGTTTCTTCTTCTTTGGAGCCTGGGCAGGGAGGGGTCAAAGAGGAGGAGCTGGGCTGGTCTTCAGCACTGAGCTGAGTCTGTAGTTGAGGGATCGCTGAGGAAATCTGGACCCTCGCTCTGCCCCTGGAGAACCTCCTCTTAGACTTTTTCTTTCTTCCGTTCCTAATGAACCCCCTCCAACAAAAACCCACTTCCTCTCTCTCTCTTCTTCTTCTTCTCCCCTATTCCTTCTTTGGAGGTGTCAACCAACTCCCAGATCAAAGCGCTTCCTGGTTGGGCACCTCTGACCCCTGCTCCTGCCCTAAGCCACCCCAGAAAGCTAGCAACATTCTCATTGCAAGTAAAGCAGGGACCTCACCCCTTTCTCCCATTGGCTCCCTCCCTCCTCTCCTGTTCTTGCACTGCCAGGCCTGGTCCCTCGTCCTCCTCCTTCAGGGGCTCTCTCTGCTCTTGTCTAGAGTGTCTTTGGGTCTGTCCCGGTCCCCCTAAGACCCTCACAGTCCTCATCACTGTCCTCTGAAGTGAGGTGCTCCTCCCAAAACCCTCACCCCCCATTCTGTGCTTTGGGCTCGGGTGGGGTGTGAGGGACAAGGCTTGGGACATCATGGAAGGACCCAGCATGGGGGGTGAGGACAGGGGACGGGGACTCACCTGCGCACAGTGTATGGGGTGGGGGGAGGAAGGGGATCTGCAGGAGGCTCATAGGTGTCTGAGCTGGGTCCAGCCCACAGGGTGGTGGAGAGGTGTGACACAGCCCAGGGCAGCGGGTGGTGGGGGGACATTAACAAGGCAGTGGGTCTGGGGCAGAAGATGAAGCTTGAAAGAGGCTCAGGGACGGAGACGGTGGTGGACAACAGGATGTCAGTGAGGCATGTGCACTGTGGCGCATGTGTGTGACTGCATGTACGTTATAGCATGTATGTGAGTGTGTGACCCTGTGCGTGACTATGAGCGTGTGACTCCATGTGCATTATGGTATGTGTGTGTGACCCTGTGTGTGTGCATGACTGCATGTGCATTACAGCATGTGTGTGTGACCCTGTGTGTGTGTGTGTGTGTGTGTGTGTGTATACCCAGGCCTGGCCATTCCTCCAGCCCCTCCTCCTCGAAGGCAGGAGGGAGGTGGCCAGCGTGGGGGAGGGTGCCAGGCCTGGAGAAGGAAATGCCTCCGGGAAATGGAAGTGGCTTAGAAACAGAGGCTCTGTCCCATCCCATCCCATCCCGGGGATCCTGAAGGGACCCTCAGCTCCACACCCAGACCTCTCCGGCCAGGCTGCGGGGACAGGGCCCACAGACGGTCCCCCGTGGAGGCCAAGGCCGCGTCTGCCCAGGCAGAGGCCCCAGCTTGCCGGCCTCTTCCCGGCTGCACATCTGGCCGGGCCGGCAGGACGCAGCCCCTGCCGGAGGGCAGACAAAGGCCCAGCCGGGGCCTGCGGGAGGAGGGGGCCGGCGCCCGGGCTGGTCCCCCACAACCGGCCGCTAATTAAAGGCCCTGAGCCCTACCGCTGGAGACACCCGGAGACAGACGGCTGTGGCCTCAGTGACCAACTCAGGGGAAGTGGGCGGCGCCACTCCCACACCCAGACACACAAACACACACTGGCAGCGACACACATCCCGCGCAACCAGAGACAGGCGCTCGGGCACTGCAGACCCACAAAAGACGCCAGGACGCCTCCACCGCAGACATACGCGCCGACAGGCTCAGTGCACACTCAACACACCCGGAGATAAACACATGGAAACACACAACCACACACTCCCAGACATGTGTAAACACACACTCAGTTACACGCGCACACACGGGACAAGCCAGAGAAACACGCTGCCACACAAATACACGCACCTGGGGCCTACACACACAGACACACTCACACACATACACAGACAACCCAAGGAGACAGACACACAGGCCTACACGCTGACACATACACACTTATTTGCATGCTCACACCAAACCAGAGACAAACTCACAAGTCCCACAGACCTAGACACCCCCCCACCAGACACACATACACAGGCATTTACACACTCATCACACTCAGAGACAAACGCACACATGCTTGGGGACACACACACAAACCCAGACACACATACACTCATCTCCAAATCTGCGCGCACACAGCAAACCCCTATGCGCACACACTGTCCACATACACAGGCAGACACACAAGAGACTCATCCCCAGGCACTGACACACACATGTAATGCACAACCACTCCGCCCCTACGTGGACGGACACACACACACACACACACACACACACACAGAGCAAACAAATCCACGGCAATCCCGGGCGCGATCAGTGGCGCGCGCACTTGAAGACCTCAGGCACAGACGCGAGTCGCACAGCGGGACGCCCTCCCCCATCCAGGGCACCACAGCCCCACGCCCTCACCGCTCGATGAGGACACACAAAGTCCCACCGAGTCACGCACCCCGGGTCCCCCGCCCGCGCCGCTACCTGCGCCGCGCCCGGGGCCTCCGCGCCGTCGCCGCCGCTGTCTCGCCGCCCCGCGCGCGCAGGAAGGGAGGGAGCGAGCGAGCGCGGCGGCGTGGCCGGGGGAGGGGGCGCGGGGAAGGCACTTCCTGAGCCGCCTGCCAGGGTTATAAAAAAACCCCCAAACCGCGCGCGGCCAGAAACCCCGCCCGCCCGCCGCCGCCCGGCCTCGGCCGCGGGCTGGACCCCAGCCAGGGACCCGGGAACTCGGGCCGCCCCGCCCGGGACCAGCGCCCCCGCCGCGGGGGAGGGGGCTGGGGAACCGCGGGGGGTGGGGAGGGGACGAAGCGGGGGAAATCGAGTGGCGGCGGGGAGAATGGACGGGAGAGGGGAGAAAGAATCAGGTGGGGGATGGGGATGGAGGTAGAGCTGGGTGGGTGGGGGTTCGGGGAAAGGGAGGAAGAGAAGGGAGAGGTTGGGGGAGGGGGAAGTTTGAATGAAAGGGGCAGGGGGAGATGGAGACCTGAAGGAAGGGGCTGAGTGGGGTGCGCGGAGTTGGGGCCTGAGGGTGCTGAGTGGGGTGGGGGGAGGTGGGGGCCTGGCGGAGGGGCTGGGTGGGGTGGGGGGAGGTGGGGGCCTGGAGGAAGGGGCTGAGTGGGGTGGGAGGAGGTAGGGCCCTGGAGGAACGGGCTGAGTTGGGTTGGGGGCAACGGGAAGGAGTGGAGGGGGGTAAGGAATGGGGCGGGAGGGGGGATGGGAGCATGATATGGTGGGGTCGGGGAGGGGAGAGCCCACTTCCTCGCCAGCCTCTGCGGCATCAACAACAGCTGTTATTTATTGAGGGCTGGGCCTGGCTCAAACAAGCATTTATTGGGCGCCTCCCGTGTGCCAGGCACGGTGCCCGGGGCGGGAAATAAGTCCCAGCTCGGCCCCGCCCTCTCTGAGTTCTCAGGGGGTCTGATCGGTCAGGGGCCTGGCCTTGGTCTCTGTACCTTAACTCCGTGGTGATGTAGGCCCAGCTGGTCCCATTTCACAGATGAGGAAACTGAGGCCACAGAGAGGGGGAGAGTGAAAATTCTCCTGGAACCGGAGCCCTCTGGGTCTTCGTCACTCTGGGTCTGGCTCCATAAAATGAACGAATGTGTGAATGAGGAGGACCTGGATGGTTGGGGCAGGGCTGGGATTTGAACCCCAGGCACCTGGTACACTGCCTGGTTCCAGGGAAGGGTGGTGACCCCCAGGCCTCACAATTCCAGGCATTTCCCAGGAACGCCCCCCGGGGAGCTGGGCAGAGCCTTGGCCTTGGCTTTCTCTGAGTCTGAGTTTACTCATCCACACAGTGGGGGTAATAACAGCCTTTCCAGGGCTGGAGTAGGGGGTGGAGGAGGGGTTTCATTCTGCAGCAAAGATTTGTTGTTACGTGCTGGGTTCCAGGGACACAGCTGAGACCAGGAGGGCAGCTTCCCAACTCGGAATTTTTCCTTTTGAACCTGGAATGACATGTCATTACTCACGCATACAGCAGGCGCTGCATAAATACCAGACTCCTGGAGTTCCTACCACACTACCTTACCCCAACCTCCTGGGACTCCAGGCTAGACCAGAGGGACAGCCCCCATCCTCCTGTTTGCTCCCCACACTCCCTCCTTCCCACCAGGGCCTGTCGGGCCCCCATTTGAGGAACGAGTCTAAGTCAGCCATTTCTGGCCTCTGTTAGCTGTTCTTCTACTACCTATGGGCCCTCTTTCTCCATGAAAGAGGGGTGGTGGCTTCCTTTCTTTGCCGTACTGCTAAAGGCTTCTACTGTTAGCCTAGTGACTGGTCCAGCCACCTGTCCCTACTTTTTTTTTTTTTGAGATGGAGTCTTGCTGTGTTGCCAAGGCTGGAGTGCGGTGGCGTGATCCCAGCTCACTGCAACCTCCGCCTCCTGGGTTCGAGCAATTCTCCTGCCCCAGCCTCCCGAGTAGCTGGGATTACAGGCGCCCCCCACCATGCCCGGCTAATTATATTTTTAGTAGAGATGGGGTTTTACCATGTTGGCCAGGCCAGTCTCGAACTCCTGACCTTAAGTGATCCAACCGCCTCTACCTCCCGAAGTGCTTGGATTACAGGCGTGAGCCACTGCGCCCAGCCCACCTGTCCCTCCTCTTAAGGATGGGTGGCTTCCAGACCGCACTGGGAATTTCAGGGCTGCTTTGAGCCAGGCGCTCCCAGGTTCTGGCACTCCTGGCTGTGAAACCTCTCATTATAATTACTCTGTGAAACTTTGACAGTTCTACACTCACTACTTCCCACCACAGCCCCAGACCTCCCTGCGGGGCGGGGGGGGGGGGGTCTCTTTTTTTTCTCGAGGGCGTGTGGCCCTCTAGGGCCTGGCAGATTGTTTAGGGGAAGCACCGTCCCCACCTGAATCCCCAGGGAGCTGTGTTGGGGTCCCCACCTGAAGCCCCAGGGGGCTGTGTTGGGGCTTTGCGGTGAGTCTTGGGAAACAGACTTATGTCTTTTCCTTTTTCTTTTCTTTTTTTCTTTTCTTTTTTTTTGAGATGCAGTCTCGCTCTCTTGCCCAGGCTGGAGTGCAATGGCGCGATCTCGGCTGACCACAACCTCTGCCTCCTGGGTTTAAGCAATTCTCCTGCCTCAGCCTCCCGAGTAGCTGGGACTACAGGCACATGCCACCACGCCTGGCTAATTTTTGTATTTCACTATCCTTGGCCAAGCTGGTGTCAAACTCCTGACCTCGTGATCTGCCTGCCTCGGCCTCCCAAAGTGTTGGGATTACAGGCGTGAGCCACCACACCCAGCCCTTTTGTGTCTTTTTCCTCTGAGACAAGATCTTGGCTCTGTTGCCCTGGCTAGAGTGAGGTGGTGTGATGACAGCACACTGCAGCCTCGAACCCCTGAGCTCAGGTGATCCTTCTGCCTCAGCTTCCTGAGTATCTGGGACCACACATGTGAGCCACCATGCCCAATTAAGTTCTTTTTTTTTTGAGACAGAGTCTCTCTCTGTCACCCAGGCTGGAGTGCAGTGGTGTGATCTCGGTTCACTGCAACTTCCACCTCCCAGATTTAAGCGATTCTCCTGCCTCAGCCTCCCAAGTAGCTGGGATTACAGGCACAAGCCACCATGCCCGGCTAATTTTTGTACTTTTAGTAGAGATGGGGCTTTGCCCTGTTGGCCAGGTTGGTCTTGAACTCCTGGCGTTAAGTAGCCCTCCCACCTCAGCCTCCTAAAATGTTGGGATTACAGGTGTAAGTCACTGTGCCTGGCCTCAAATTGTAGAGACAGAGTCTCTCTCTGTTGCCCAGGTTGGTCTTGAACTCCTGACCTCAAGCAGTCTCCCTGCCCCAGCTTCCCAAAGTGCTGGGATTTACAGCTGTGAGCCAAGTCTGGCCTGACTTTTGTGTCTTGAGTGGGATGGATTTGAAGCTGAATCCCTATCTTAGACAACAGGGGGAGGCCTCTTATAAGAATGAAGCCAGCTGGAAATGTGGGATCATGCCTGTAATCCCAGCACTTTGGGAGGCCAAGGCGGGTGGATCACTTGAGCTCAGGAGTTCGAGACCAGTCTGGACAACATGACAAGACCCCATCACTATTAACAAATACAGAGAAATAGCCAGGGCGTGGTGGTGTATGCCTGTGGTCCCAGCTACTTGGGAGGCTGAAGTGGAAGGATGGCTTGAGTCACGGAGGTGGAGGTTGCAGTGAGCTGAGATTGGGCTACTGCACTTCAGCCTGGGCGACGGAGTGAGACTCTGTCTTAAAAAAAAAAAAAAAAAAAAAAAAAGTTAAGTAAATAAATAAAAATAAAAATGAATGAAGTCACCAGATGGAGGAGAGTAATGGCCCTGGGGCCATCATTATTTGAGCCCTGAGCAAGCTGTTCCTGAAGCCCATAGATGGGCTTTAATCCAGTCACACTCTTTATTGAACACTATATTGTGTCAGGTGCTGATCCAGGTACTGGGGACATGGCCAGAAACAACAATCTCCATCCCACAAAGGTCACCGTCTTGCCTCAAGGCCTTCGCACTTGCTGTTCCCTCTGCCTGGAACACCTTGCCTCCCCACCCCCCATATTCCATGGCCAGGTCTGTTTTGTCTTTGAATTTTTTTTTTTTTTCCTCTTTGAAACAGAGTCTCGATGTCACCCAAGCTGGAGTGCAGTGGCACGATCTCAGCTCACTGCAACCTTTGCCTTCTGGGTTCAAGCGATTCTCCTGCCTCAGCCCTCTCAAGTAGCTGGGATTACAGGCGCGTGCCACCACGCCTGGCTAATTTTTGTATTTTTAGTAGAGATGGGATTTTGCCACGTTGGCCAGGCTGGTCTCGAACTTCTGACCTCAAGTGATCTGCCTGCCTCGGCCTCCCAATGTGCTGGGATTATAGGCGTGAGCCACTGCACCTGGCCATCTTTCAAGTTTTGACTCAAACATCATTTCCTTAGGGAGGCCTGCACTGATCCCCTCACTTCAACATGACACCCCAATGGGCTTCCTTTCACACTCCCCAATGTCTTTTACTCTTAGCATGAGTCACTACTGGGCGTACTCTATGAAATACTTATATCTGCTGACTTCTTGTGTTTCCCACCGGAATGCCAGCTCTGTGAGGGAAGGGGGTTGTTGTCTGTGTGGTCCACAGCAGTATCCTTGGTGCCTAGCAGGATCTCACCCACAGTTAGTGGCCACTGTTGAATAAATAGGCTCACTAGCAAATAAAAGGGCTCTCAGAAGAGGTGACACGTTGTCGTTTGAATGTTAAGAAAGCCTGTTACTGGAAAAAAAAAATATTAGCTGGGCATGGTGGTGCGTACCTGTAGTCCCAGCTACTTGGGAGGCTGAGGCGGGAGGATCACTTGAGCCAGGGAATTCGAGGTTGCAGTGAGCTGGGAACGTGCCACTGTACTCCAGCCTGGGTGACAGAGTGAGACCCTGTCTCAAAAAAAAAAAAAAAAAAAAAAGCAGTGTGAGTGTGAAGGCGTTCTAGGAGGAGTGCATAGTAACTTCAAGGTTCCTGTGCCCATTCTCTTTTTATGTAAGCCAGCCTGGACTGACTTTAGAAAAAAAATTGTTTCTT